TTCAACCAACGTCCTCTTAAGAGTTTTAAGTAGTTGTTTGGTATTTCTCAAGAAGACACTGAGCATCCTGCAGAAGATGCTAGAGCAGTAAGGCCACTCTGGCATCATGTGCACCCTAAATCATGCCAAGATGAAGACTGGCTTTGAATGGTACTGACACATGAGCACCAGTTCTTTTCGGCTAATGTGGAGTCTCCCTCAGACCTTCCCTTGAGGTTGCCACGAGGAGTTGTTTTGATCCTGTTCTCTGTCTTCTCACGTGAGGCTCTAACGGGCAGCTGGAGGGTGCCTGGGATGTGGTATAAACTCCCACCTTCCAGCATTCTGAGTGAATGAGTCCAGAAACAAATGGAAGACAACATAAAAACATATTGAGGTGAAAGAATAACTGGAAAATTTAATAAAGAAGAAATGACATGTTCAAGTTAAGAATGAAATTGCTTTACTGGAAGAGAATCCAATAAGATTTTAAGCCGACTGTCTTCAATGTTTACCCAGTGCTCAACTTCTTTAGATTTGAGGGAAGCTGGCATCTACTGTGAGCTGAAATCCAACTGGTTCTTTTCACAGAAACAAGAGAAAAAAAATCACTGTGTGATTCTAAAAGACCACAAATCATTTGGTATCAAAAAGAACACCAAATTTTAGTAGTATTTCTTCAATACGTTTTCTGGTAAGCTTTATTAGATTATTTTTCCAAATACATCCCTTCTTGCTCATGAGTGAATATTTTGAGTGTTTTTTTCAGAGACTCTTCTTTCTAGCTAAATCAACATTTTCTTGAAATGAAAATATAACTTGAATCCTCCAGAGGCCAAAAATATCTTAAGAAAAAATACCCACTAGCTTGATGTCAAAGTGAATGGTAGTGTCTTTTCCTGGGGAAGGATTCCATTTAACAGTTATTCTGTTTTACGCCTTTCCATGAATATTTGGGGTCAGCTACAACAAAAGGGACAATATTAGTTTACAGTAGGAATTTAGAATTGGCTGCAGTCTTCATGCCCATCTGTCCACAACAATTGTGTTAGCAATGCTGTGGAGGTGGTGTCTCTCCTCTCCTATGTTGACGCTGCCAGGGTACAGTGCCTGGTTAGCATAAGGTAAATCAATCAGAAACACATCAATACTTCGACTCAACCAAATAATGTTACTCAGCCCCATAGACAGACAAAGGTACTAAGACCAAAGGAATAGTAGCAATGATAACAAGCACAACAACAAACACAAACATGTCTACACTCCTGTAACAATAGAAAGGGACGATGCAGAATCAGCCAAATCTTTTGATATCAAAACTAGTCTTTTCCTAGTACAATAACACATGGTTCCCATATTTGTTGTCCTGATGATTTTGCTGGCAGTGATGACATACTACAAAGATTCACATCCCATTCTCCAGAAGTGGATCATATGGTAAAGCAATCAATCTTCCTGACGACTGTGAGGCCTTACTAATGAAAAATGCAAAGCGTCTATCTCCGTGGATCCAATCTTCACTGGTCCAACCCACACAGCATTTAATTATGGAATTCTATGATTTAAGAGTTCAGTTGAGTTCACTAATAACATAAGCTACTTCCCTAGCTTCTGAGAAGCCTTTTCCTCCTTTTTAAAGAAATATTTATAGATGTATTTATTTATTTGAAAGGCAAAATATCAGAGAAGGAGAGATAGACGGAGATTAAGACAGAGGGCAAGAGGTTCCATCCCCTGGTTTTCTTCCCAACGAGCCCCCAAAGCCATGCCAGGGCCTAGCTGACGCCAGGAGCCAACAGTTCCATCTGACTCTCCCACAGGGGTGCCAGGGGCTCAAGCAATTGTTCATCTTCTGATGCTTTCCCTGGCACATCAGCAGGAATCTGGATGGGAAGCAGAGCAGCCAGGGTTCCATCTTCACTCCCCATAACATGGGAAGCTAGTTTTGGAACTGACATTTCACCCACCATGCCACAACACTGGACCCAAAGAAACATTTTTTATGAAGACATTATGCTTGCAGTATTACTGGGATTCTGGCACATGTTGATGGGCCATTCTGAAGTTGATTGTTCAGACCATGACTCCCCACTTTACTGTACTAACATATCCATATTGTTTTGTTTCACGAAGCACTACTTCTACAGTGAGGGAAGGAGGAGGATAATAAGTTGGCTCAGAAACTAAGATACTCCTCGAGACACTGCTACCCCATCTCAGAGTGTGAATTTGAGTCCTGGCTCTGATCCTAAGACCAGCTCCCTGCTAATGCATGGTCTGGGAGGTTAGAAGTGGATACTCAATAAGCTGGGCCCCTGCTACCAGACTGGCAGATCTGGATTTCAGCTCCTGGTTTTCAGCTCCAGCCTGGCCATTTCAGGCACCTGAGAACGAGTAGATGTGGAATATGCATGCTCATGTCAGTGTCTGGCTCTTAAATAAGTAACTTTTAGAAAAAGAATAACTTTTTAGATTACGCTGTGTAGTGATTTGAAGGTTTATTCTAAAACATTCTGCAACAAATACACAAGACTGGAATAGTTTCTTAAAGTGCAAGGCCTGGCGCAGCAGTTTGGAAACATGGTAAAAATAAAAAATCAATGGCCACCATCCCCAACATGCCAAACATGTGTGATCAGAGGCAGGGGTCCAGTACTGGATAACAGTGATGTCCTCTCAGGAGTGAGAATCACTGTTCTACAGTCATTGAAATTGTTCCCGGGTCCTCAGCTTAAAACAAAAAGGCAGTTGGAGAAAGAAGGAGAAAAGAGACAAGGGGGGGGAGAGAGAGAGAGAGAGAGAGAGAGAGAGAGAGAGAGAGAGAGACTGACTGACTCGACTGACTCTCTGGAAAACAGTGACAATCCAAATGCAGAAAGAGAAGGAATGAAATAATTTTGTTCTCTGAGACATTTACCAAGTCCACTAAAGAGGCTCAAGCTCAGGGCTTATATTTATAGCTAAGCATTCCTTTGAGGACCTAACAAAATAGCTCTTCAACGGATTCTTTTGAGAATCACCATCTTCCTTGTATCCTGCTATTACCATGTACAACATAGCCATATTACTAAGTGTCAGGTGAAATATTTTGCTTTGCAAAATTTATCCCCATTAAAATTTAAAGCAACCATTTTTAAATCATCTTAGCACATGATTTTGAGTCATACATGGTTGGCAAAAATGACTCACAAATGACTATAATTTGACAAAGCTTTAGTTACTCTATTAATTTCTGAAGGGAAAAATTACAAATGTAAATAAATTAAAATAGAATACTTTACTATTCAGGAGAAAATCTTTACATTCAAACAGTAACTTTATAATGTCAAAATAACCAGTAGGTATTAATCAGTATGTGGGCTATGTAAATATTTGCTTGTTTCCATAGTGATTGGCAAGCCCAGATACAAAAAAAAAAAATCCACACATGTTATCACTTCCTAATAATATGATCATAAAAACACGACTCAGGCCAGACTGAGAGGAGAATAAACACCACTAATTAAAACATTTATGAAATCAAGGAGGTGACAAACGAAGTATTGAGTGTAAAAATGAAAAAAAAAGTAAAATATACCTTTTTAAAAAAAGCACGAAGGAAACTTGAGCAACCTTTAATTATCTTCCAAAATGCTATTTGGAATTTTCCAAAAATAAAACATCTGACAACTGCTCAGAGCACACCATACCCCCACCCACAAAACATACACTTTTAAAGTGGATATACAGCCATGGCTGTGAAGTGTGTTTGAAAAAAAGTGAGATTGTTGGCATTTCACTTGAAATCAACTGAGAAGTTCTTTACTGAAGAAGTGAGAAGCTTAAAGCTGTTTTCTAAAGCTTTAGGGGAGCACGGCACATTACGGAGTGGGAGCCTTTGGTCAAAGAGTAAAGTAATAGTATGCTTCACACTTTGCCCAAGAAACCTACACAGGAACCACAGTTGTCTGAAATAATCAGTCCTGTTAACGGGCCTTTGGTTCTGAAATGTCTTCACAAAGCAGTCACCGGTGCAAAGGCTGTTTGTAGAAACACTTTGTTCATCTGATATCTGCTGGGATACTGCACGCTCCAGATAATGCAGCCTCTTTTTCCCTCGGAATCATTTTGAAAAAGAAAAAACAAACCCAGACATCAGCAACATACCCTCCATGGCAGGAGGGATTGAACATGCCAACCAAGGTATGCCAACCAAAGATGTGTAGTTAGGGGAACAGTCGTGGTGGACAGCAAACGCAGTGAGTCCAACTGCAAAGCCATTCTGGATTGAGCACATTGTAAGTTCAAAGTTAATGTATTACAGTAAAGAGCAAAGTCGAGGCAATTACAGTTATTAGATTCTATCCCATGGTATATACAAACAAGTACATAAGGCAACAAATATTGCAATGTTGCTGAAAATAAATTATTAATATTATAAAACTAAAACACAAGACTGAGGATCTTTAAAAAAACCCATGAACATCCTGACTATATCAATCAATATTGAATCTTGTGAAAAACTTGATAAAGTGAAAGCAAACAGTAGACTGGAATAAAATATATACCAATGCTGAAATAGATCAAGGCTTTATACCTTAACATATAAAGATTTTTTTGTAAGTCAGTAATAGAAAGGCAAACAAGAAGAAAAAGATGAAATGAACAGAAAAAAGAGAAATCATGCAAAAATATGATTATCTTGGGCCTGGCATGGTAGCCTAGTGGCTAAAAAGTCCTTGCTTTGCATGTGCCAGGATCCCATACCCATGGTAATTCTAATCTCGGCTGCTCCACTTCCCATGCAGCTCCCTGCTTGTGGCCTGGGAAAGCAGTCAAGGACGGCCCAATGCCTTGGGATCCTGCTCCTATGTAGGAGACCAGGAAGAAGCTTCTGGCTTCTGCCTACAAATCAGATCAGTCCCAGCCACTACATCCACTCGTGGAGTGAGCCAGTGGATAGGAGATCTTTCTGTCTCTCCTTCTCCCTGTGAATTTGCCTTTCCAATAGAAAAATAAATCTCCAAAAATATATATGTGATGTGCTTTCTTCGGCAGCACAGATACTAAAACTGGAATAATACAGAGAAGATTAGTATGGCCCCTGCACAAGGATTTCACGCAAAAATATATATGTGATCATCTTATTAGTGTCTATGGCTACAGAAAAATAATTATTTAGTTTTCACCCATCAGATTGATAAAAAAAAATGTTAAAGGTTAAAGATATCCCATATTGGCCAGAATATAGAGATAAGAGAGCCTTTGCTGTTAATTCCAATAGGCAGCATGCTTTAAGAACATCTTTGAGATATCTTTCACAAGTAGTTTGTATTTATTTACTTGAAAGACAGAAAGTAACAGAGAGGATGTTCTGGTTTACTTCCTCAGTGGCCACACATGACTTTAGCCTGGTCAGCTCAGGTTAGTCAGGAGCCAGGACCTCCATCCAAGTCTTCCATGTGGAAAATGGAGACCCTACTCCTCTGCCATCCTTGCTCCTTTCCCAGGCTCGTTAGCAGAGGCTGGATTGAAAGTAGGGCATTAGGAGGCAGTATTTTAAATATTGGCTTAACCCACTGCATCACAACACCAGCCCATTCATAATTTGAAATGTGTTTGGTCTTTGATGCAGTAATCTTACTTTTAGGAATTGATGCTACAGAAACATGACAACTTGCATAAAATTTCATGTATAGAATGGGCACTCTGATCTGCTAACAGTGAAAAATGGGAAGACGTCCTTCCACAAGGGGATGGGAGATACTGCTGGAATACATGTAAATCTTCTAAGAATGGGAGTTCTTCTCACCTCCGCCACAAACATTATTCCTAACCCAAAGTACCAAGAAGCCAGGCGTCCCAGTGAAAGCATCAATCTAACCTGGTGTTCCTGCTACAAGAAAAGGACGGTCTACCCCCAGGTTTAGAGGGCTTGTCAGCCGCCCCGCCACACTTGTCCTCACAATAACTCATTAGAGGCACAAAGTGAGCAAGGATTCTCACTGAATGTCATTTCCCAAGAAAGTGTCCCCTGGGTGAGGTGGCTATCCCAACAGTAGGTAGGATCCATATTGCCCCCTCCCTCTAGTGGGTTTAGGGAAAAACATGTCAGGCACAGGGCACCATAAACACAAACAACTTCTCCAACCATAACAATGACCAGATTTGGGCCATGGCCATACCACACTCATTCAGTAAGTGTACAGCAGCAGGGGTCAAATGTCAAAACTATTGAATGTACCTCTCTCCTCTTTGAATGAAAGTCTGTGGAATCATAATGTATTTTCTCTGGGGCCGTAACAATGGATCAATCAGCTGATCTTACCCCTTGCAGAGTGCAAAGATCCCATATGGGTGCCAGTTCATGTCCCAGCTGCTCCATTCCCCATCCAGTTTTCTGTTTAAGGCCTGGGAAAGCAGCAGAGGATATCCCAAAGACTTGAGACCCTGAGCCCAAATGGGAGATCTGGACAAAGCTCCTAGCTCCTGGTTTTAGATCAGCTCAGCTCCGGCCATTGCAAGCCATTTGTGGAGTGAACCAGCAGATGGAAGATGTTTTTCTCTCTGTCTCTTCCTTTTTTGTGTAAGTCTGCTTTCCCAATAAATATAAATAATTCTTAAAAGAAAAAGAATTATAGTGCGTTTTCTCCAAAGAGTCAAGGGTAGGTAGCTCTCCCTGGCATGATCTGGAGTATATCTGTGTCCCATTGGTGAACATCATCAAACTAAACACATTCTGCAGATAGAGAAGTTGTGCTTTTAAAGTCCTCCGTTAGGAATGAATCCCTCTGCCCTATCATCCTTCATGATTAAATGACCATGTATATACAGCAAGCAAAAGGCCCACATGCAAACGTATTACAGGCACACCTGTGTCTTTGCACCATTGCTGATTCCTAAGGTGGTGCAGCCACAAGCCTGCAGTCAGCCATGTCTCCAAGCCAGGGGAATGGGAATACCATTAGCCACTGTTGCACATGTTCGCAATGAGATAACATGGCTTGTATACAAAACATTGCTGCTTCCATGTCCTCTCCTGTTTTTTGTTTGCTTGCTTATTTTGTTTTGATTTGTTTGTTTAAGACCCTCAAAGGTCCCTGTGAGTCAGATATATCCCAGGTGACATCCCATTGTGTCTTCCCTGCAGCCTGCTGAGGACGCATTGTTACAATCCTCAAGGTTCGCAGAGGCACAGAGAAACTGAACTATTATCCAGCGTGGCACAGGAAATGGGTAACAGAGGCAAGATGGAAACAGCAGGCATCATGCTGCGCAATGGCTGCTGTTGTCATGTGCCCCCGTCTCCACCTCTAACTTCTCCCAAAGTGATGTTTTCTGCTCCTCTTTCTCCCCTCTCTGCAGATTTCTCAAACTCTTGCAGCGTCCTGGACCATCTCTCCCCCTGCACACCCTGTCACTTCACTTTCCTTTTAGACTATGTGAGAATTTTTCAGAGAAAAACCAAGTTACTAAAGTCAAGGAAGTTGTTTCTCTTTCTCAAAGAATTAGAAGGGGCCGTGGGCAGGCAGAGAGCATTTTTTTCGAACCTAAACAATTTCCTAAAGAAATCACATAGTTGGAGTGTTTTGTGGACATCTGGAAAAGAAAAACAGATACAACTCTTTCTCTCTCTCTCCAGGAACTTGCCCTCCAAAACACAAAATATTGACACAGGCTTGCAACAAAAGACACACAGACAACTGCACAAACATTTAAAATAATAATTAAGCAAGAGACAGAAATATTGATAGACATTGTTACTGGGACTCACTTAGTTTGTTCTTGCTGTAGATTTTTTTCTTTCCCTCGGCTTTTATGTCAGAGGTGTGTGGCTGAGAAAGTGCCACGAGAATGGACTGAAATGGGGACGGGGAGTGCAGGAGACAGCACAAAGGGGCAGGCCTGCTTAGCAGGGGGACCGTGTCTAACAACACTCACCACCACCACTCCTCTGCAATTCAGGCTTCAGCTTCTTCCATCTGCGACATCAGGGTAGTAATTAGCAGCAGCAAAATATCTGATTTTGATAACAAAGACTTGACGTTGCAGGGGGAAAAAGACAAGGGAAGGTGATGAGTTAACACCTTGGGTTGTGGGAAACCTAGAAAGAGACTGAATTCTGTGTTGAAACTTTAACTTACTAAGTAGGACATATTCTTGCAGGCGAGTCCAAGGACTCAGGCCAGGTGTCCCAGGCATCACGGATTCCCCACTCCTGGGGCTCACGGAGGACACCCACCAAGTAAGCGGGCCCCAGGCCACAGGCTGAAAAAGGTAGAGCAATGGACATGGGCCCTGTTGTAAAAGGAGAATATGGCAGCTCATTTGGTGCTATATCGGAAGAACGGAACTAACTGGACAATTACCCCAAACAAACAATGACAACAAAAAACTTCAGTGAATGGAGCCAATGGGCATTGGGAAGGTGACATCACCCTCAGATTGGTGAAATCGGCAGCATTTCAGAACTATCCAAACCATTTGGACGGAACTCTCGGAATATGTACACATTGAGACTCTGGGTTGATATAAGGTGGCAATTCCTCATCCCTGGATACTGGGATATGTGGAAAGTCATGAGTGGTTTCCCACTTTGTTTCTCTGCTTCCCCCAGAAACAATAAGAAGAAATAGCAAATTTGGAAGCAAGGAGTACACCTAATTTTCCCCTAAACCTTGATCCTTCCCACCCTGATCCACCTGGTAATCATTATAAAAATGAAGTTTATATTTAAAAAAAGAAAATGGAAAAATAGAAACTTTGACTTAAATCTCATTGCTGTCACAGCCAGGGTAACTATATACCACTCAAGTATAAACTCTCCAGACTGTTAGCCCCAACCAATCCAGCCTTGGATAAGCTGGCTCTACTGTCTCCAAATCCTCCCTGCCCTTAGTGTTACCTGCACTTCCTGTCTAGAGCCAAGGAATTCAATGTGAACAATTTATGCCTTCCTTCCTCCTGTCCTCCTCCTAAAAAACACACTTTGCTCTAGGATTCAGCAGCTATTTTCTCAACTGTCTTGCTGCTAGTGGTCACAGCCACTTGTTCTAGCACCTTGTCCTTCCTCTAGGTTGAGTCTGTGATGGCTCTATGCACCTGTTTATTACAGAGACCCCGTGGGTCCCCAGAGTTGGACCTAACATCACCACGCACTCTGGTTGTTCCGCACGGATGCTGCATGATGACAGCAAGTGAAAATGGGAATACGGTTTCTGCACCCATGTCAAAATGCCACATGGAACCAGCAGAAAGATCCTTCTAGCCAGACAGAGCTTCAGGATTCTGCCATGCTCATATTAAGTTTAAAGATAGCTAGGACAGAGGCCCAGCCGTGTCTCTTTTTTATTCTTTTAAAAACCAGGGTCATGAAAAAAAATTACTGAAATCTTGCTGAGCAAAGAGAGTAGGAATTCAAAGTAGATGACTCACTGCACAAAAGGAGAGAGCTGTGGAGGAGGGAGATCCAGTCGTAGTGGACCTGACTGTGCATCTATTCCTCTCCTTTCTCCCTAACAGGTGCTCCGACAGTAGATGAAAGACAAAGGATGGTCTAGACACTGGACGAGATGGAGAAATCTCCTAATGAGAGAATATTGTGCATAGATCGTGTAGATGGGAATGTCACTAGGGATAGTGATAGGACGTGAGGTAGAAAACTGTGTTGCCTTCAGAAAGTTAGAAGTGGAGGAAGGGGACAGAGGGACAAGAGCCGGAGTGTTGGAGTCCAAGGTTTTCTGCTTCTGTTTTCCCTCTGTTCTGCATTTGCTGTGTGACTCTCAGTAACAGAATCAGCTTCTCTGTGCATCTGAGAGATTGGGCAGCAGGAATATCACGGCTCCCAGTGGGCTGCAAGGTGCGCAGCCAATGGGGAGGCAGTCAATGACATGTCATTTGTGATACTTCTGCCACATAGCAGACACCCAATAAGCTTCTTGATTTCAGGAGAAAAGCAGAAAGGCAAACATTCTTTTATGCGCAAGTTATTCACTGATGCCCATTGATGAAATACAGCCTCTTCATTGAAAAGTAGTTCATCAGATTTATGGTCATGACTGCTATCTTGAAGAATCAGCTCAAGGAACAAGTGTATGAAATCAATTGTGTTTGACAAACTGAATGATTTTGCATTCTCATAAGACCCAGG